CATAATAAGAACAATTTATGAGAATCTATATTTTAAATTTTTAATCCTTAGTTATAAAAAACTGAACATTTCATAATTTTTCGATTACAATGATTGATAATTTTCAAGATTTTGATACATTTTGTCAAAGTTCAAACTTTAAATGATTATAAAAAAATTTGTGCCTATGCATTTTTAATATTTTTCAACCGCTATATAGTAACAATATATTATGAGGAGCCTTTCATTACCTTTTCACGCACTTTGGGACAACAAATACAATTTTATTGATATTTATAGAAAAACATTAAAAAACATGCAATTTTAAATTGCCGTAAACAGTTCAAAACAAGTCAAAATATTTTGAAAATGTTTTGGTGTATAAAAAATGCTAATATAAACATTTAGTCAAAATTGCATCTATCTATGGTCATTTGTTTTAGAGTTACATCAAAAAATAAAAATAATTTTTCTTTTGTTTTTCACGGCACTTTTGAAAACTACTGGGAAAACTACCAACTAGATTCACTACTTTCCTATTAGAAAAGATAATGTTGAAAAAATTCTAAGCATTTTTACTGTCCTAAAAGGTGATGACAGACACAAAAAAAAATTAAAAACACACATCCTTTTAAAAACAATACGAGTACATTCATCGCTCCGCTCAGAATCTAAAATAGTTATTAGATATTGTATAGACCGKTATAGCATCCACATGACGTATAAAAAATATATTATATATTTAAAAGGCCGTTAGTATATTGAGGGCCTCTACAATTATGATTTTCCCTGGCTGTGTTTTTCTCCCAGTCCGCCACTGGTTATATACCTATACAGTAGGTATACGTTCATAAGTTAATRGAGTACTCGAGAATAGTGATACCTAGGGTGAACATCTAAAAGCCATGATGCAAAATTGCAAAGCATAATATATTTCAATACCTATAACGGCTATACCCATTTGATATCTTCTTAATATACTATATAATATTATTATTAATATTAAATGTAATATAATAAAAAATTTATATTACATAATTTTAGCAACCATTCACCCTAGCTACTCCTTCACACCATAACATTTAGACATTATAAAACCCTTATGATTTTTTTTCACCAATCCGAGGTTCTAAATTCTACCCTATATATGTACTAATGTCAACCACTGTTAACAACAACAAACAACATTCTTCCCATTATTTTCAACCAATGTGAATTTAAAATTTACAATTTATAAGTTACATATTAAATTCAGTTATCATACCACTTTAATTAGTTAAATTTGATACAAGTTAATTCTATTAATTTAGCAAAAATTAATTCCAAAAATATTAATTTATAATACAGAAATTCATTATTGACCTAACCTGTATAAATTACCTCACATTTGCCTATTACAAAGACATTTTTAAATACCTAGTCAAAATAAATTCTTTATAGTAACATAATATCTGACCATATAGTTCTTATAGTGACATAAATAGGTACTGTAAAATTTTAAAATGTTTTTAATTCTTATACGTTATAACTATATTGTATTAATCAAATCACCAGAATTAGTTACTCTATTAGTGTATCTTACTCATGTACCTAGTAATGAATAATGATCAATAGTTGAATGATCATAATACCATATTACTTATTTATTATATTTTTTATTAAAATGAATAGGTATATTATTAATAGATATTATGTATGTAGTAATAATATAACTGATCAATTCTGTATCATACCTAATTAATAAATATTTACAAAATTGAAGAAAAAAATGTTGTGGAATTGAAAGGTATTAAAAAAATGAATTTGTTAAAATATTGATGAACTAAGAAAAATATGTAGGGAAGAATACCAAACCAATCGTATAACATTTGAATGATTAAGTCACGACTAATTAATTATTTCATATAATAATAGATTCCACAATAAAACATAATTAATTTGTATAATTTGAAAATACACCTAACAACAGGGTATATAAAATTATATAATGAACGTTTGATGTAAATTTCAAGTAACTATAGTTATATTTTTTTTTCAGTACAACAAAATAGGAAAATTGTTCCATGTGAAATCGAGTGAACAACCAGTATTATAATAGGTAGGTACATATTTTTATAAATTTATGATTTATCTATATTGTAAATTTGTAACAATTAAATTTAAAAATTATTTAACCATTTTAAAGAACTAAAACGAGATTCTTCAATTAAAAAAAATTACATGAATCATGTTTAAACAGTAAACACTACACACAAAAGTGTTGACCAATAAATTATAAGAAAATTTTAATTTAAAATAATACCACTTTTGCATATTTAATAAAATAACCATCATATTATCATATTTTGTATACAGTGTACGCTATTAATAGACTCACTATAAGAATACTTATTGACACGGACTACTACACTGGACTGGAAACGAGACGTTTACCGCCGGGCCGCTTAGTGTCCGCAAGAGAGGTGTAGTAAGGGGAAATAGTACATGAGCTAATCTGGCGCCATCTATACTTCAATGATAAACCACTAACCAAATATTGAATTCCCGCCAAATAGACCTACATTTATACATAATATATATTATATTATATTATGAAAATCACCGACTAACATATTATTA